TTATAGCTTTGAATAGTGAGCTAGGAAAAGGAAAGGACTTTGGACTAGTCTAGTAGTGCTACAACCATGTTAATACAAGAATGTGTAATGAATTTGTTCTAGTTGTAAATTTATAAGTGATTTAAGTTGCCATAGGACACATATATATGTTTTGATTGTGAAATGTGATAATTTTTTGTGAACCTAATGTTGGATAGGGAGACATAGTAGAAGATAAAATTAATTTTAAATCCCTATCCTAATGTGGACCAAACGAACTCATTTAAGTGAAGGTGGATAAAAGAATTACCTTTTAATTTCGAGCTCCTCACGTGTTGTTTGCAAGTAATTGGATCTTAAGAGCTAATAATGTAGATTTACTCCTTCTACCAATATCACATGAATAGCTCTCTAACTCAAACAGTATGCTAGCGCTCCCAACGTCCGTTCATCTTTAAACATCGTTCTTCCCTTTCTCTAGGGTGTTTTGTGGCTCTCAAGGTGTTCGGCGGTCAAAACTCTTTCAAACTCTCGCTCAAGAAGCACAACCCCTTATCTATCATTTATATAAATTAGGGTTTTAGTCTTCCTTTAATGAGTCAACAAAAATTTAATTAAATTTATCTCATAAATGTAATCCATGATATCATATCTAATTCAAATTTATCTTATAAATTTAAATTATAAAACTGACATGATATTCTCTCATATCATGTTAGTTATTAAATTTAATATATTGCATAAAATTAAATTTAAAACTAATATAATATATATAAGTATACGAAAATACACATATATGTATGTATGTATATATATTTTGAATATATATATATATATATATATATTATATTTTAAATTTTATATATCATAAGATACACACACACACATGAATATATATATATTTTGAAAAAAATATATATATAATTATATTATATTTCATATAAATATATATATATATATACACATAAATATTTATCACATAAATATTCAAATATATATATATATATATATAATTCATTTACCTTAGAAAAACATTATATTCATTGAATCTAGGCACATTTTAGATTTAATGAACTTGAATATTATAGCTCAAGTTGGCTATTCTTGTGTGAAACCTTGTAAGCTAACATGAAGTTGGCAATATGCTAATTATGCTATTCGTCCACAAGTCACAAGTGGCATCTAACAAGACATTGTAACTGCCCAATTCATATGGGGATCAATGATCTGATATAACCTATTATGTAACCATATCACATCCCTTTTGTCATGTGATATTGCGGTCAAGTGTGAGACTTGAAATTGTTATTCTCATTCACCTAACTATTACTTTCTTGACCTCTGAGTGGATTGACATAACAATGGAAAAAACCCTTTCTACTATAATATGGCTATACATTTTCTTAATCTTACTCATCGAAGGGCCTAGTAACATCTCTCAATTAACATGAAGGACAAATTCCATCTTAATCACTGATATTCCTCTACATGAATATCACTAAATTTAGTCATAGCCTTTATGATCACCTGATTAAAGGTGACTTTTGACTAGGTCAAAGTTTAGTAGTCATGTAGGAATCCATGATGATCTCGTGTCAAAGGGCTTAGTGATATAGTTATATATAAAATAAGCTTATGACTTATACTATGCAGCTCTCTCATAATAGATCAGTCTAGCACCTTGTACTCTTTCAAGTGTCTATGACTTTAATTTATATTTCTATAATTAATCAAATTCATACTAGTCTTGTTTCATTTATGATCCCTCATAGATAACCAACCAAGAACATTTAGGACAATCATTATAGTTTGTCCAAGGATACAGTTATTATAGTAAATATACAATTAATATGATAATAAAAGATAAATTCATTAAATAACAATATTTCTTGTACAATAATTGGCCTTAGGGCACAATTTTCAACATCTTAGCATTGCTTGTGAAATTTGATTTAGGGCTAAGAATGTATTTTTTGTGTGTGTGTGTTTGGCAAGAAGAGTGTATATATGTGAACTTGTAAAAAACAGGCCTTATTTTGTGTAAATGGGCAATTTGGTGGCCAAATATGTGTATATGTGTATATATAATGCTATTATTGGTCAATCAGGTGTAATTGGTCATTCTGGACTTGGTTCTAGGCCCAAAGTAATCTAATTAGACAAAGTGTGAGATTTGAATACTTTGAGTGCTTGAATTTTAAGAAAAGTAACTTTTTATACTTAATTGTCCCAATTAAGATTGAACCATTAGATCATATCCAAACTTCTCTCACTAAATTGCTTATCAACTAAGCTTCATGTAGGTGTTTAAATCACTCTGATTGGATGTCATATGTGAAAACGACACACTCCAAAAATTCACATCTATGAACTGTCATATGATAATAAAAATCTGTCATGTATGCTACTGCGACGCATGGTATAGAAAAGGAGCCCGTGGCTCTATATCACATGCTATGGTGCACGGTTCCTTTTCTAGAATTGTTTGTTTGTCTTCAATTCATACATTGAGGGTTGTAAATGCAGTCCTTTAGCTTTCATTGTGTATTGATTTGTATGTGAATGATTTTGAATGATTTTAAAAAGAGTCTTAGAATCACAAAACTTTTAGAATAATTATTTTTCATTATGACTCTATATTTGGTTGTGGTAAATGAAGTAATATTTTCTGATATGTGGATATTAGGAGAGGTTAAAACTTTGTCTTTGGATAGGAAGAAAAACGCCAAGCACATATGCTCATTAGATTAGATCGTAGGTATGTCATGCAATTACCCAGTTTTTACCCACATCTATTATAAATTAGAAATTAAAAATAAATATAAAAAATTAATCAAATTACATTGTAGTCTCCATGATTAATACGTAGAGAGATTTTTGTGTGGGAAGTTATGATGCTTAAACTTCTTAACAGATTTTAAAAGTAAAATTTAAAATTGTGAATAAAAAGTTTGGAAGTTATGATAATATTTAAAGGGGAGAGATAATTGATAGTGAGATAGTAGATAGATTTTCAAGGTTTTGGAAGATATGAATCATAAATTTTTTTAATTAATTGATTTTCAAGATTGAAATTTAAAAATCAAAATAAGAAGTTAGGAAGTTATGGTAGTCATTTGAAATCAAAATCTAAACTTTAGTCAAATAGTTAGGAAGTTACAATTTAAAATGCAAGAAAAATTTAAAATTTACTATGATATTATGAAGGCAGCAGAATTTTAAAAAGTGAATAATTTATTTAAACCATTGAAATACAAATAAATTTAAATCTAAACTATATAAACCTAAAATCCTTAAGTAGAACGATAATTAGGAGAGAATGATGAAATAAATAACATTATGCAACTAAACTGTGAGAGCAAAAAAAATTTTGAATGAAAAAAAAAATTAAAACAAGATATTAAAAAATCAAACATGATGTAGATTAGAACTGTGTAGAAGTCTTTCAATCTTATTCGATCCAATCTGACCCGAGAATGTTTGGTCTTATCTGGTTTTGTTAAAAGTTGGTCCTTTAGGACTGAAAAAACTAAAAAGACCAAACTATTTCTTCATGTTGAACTAGATAGGAGATTGGGCATCTAAACCACTTGATCTAGTCTGGTCCTGTTAAATTTATTTAATATGATTATAATTAATTTACCAATTACTTATAATAATAAGTTATTAAGACTATTAATAATTTAATAAGTTTTGTTCTTGGCACGGTCGCACACTCAGACTAATAATTTAATAATCTAGACCACTTGAATTTTAATTAAAATATTTTTCCCTTATTGTTGAAAATTATTACATTAATTTCTCCAATTTCTGTCATTCATATCGTCCCGTTATTTCAAGTGTACGTGCATACACAGTGGGGAAAAAAGAAAAGAAAAAAAAGAGAGACTTTGTAGATTGGCTGTTAAAGACTTCTTAGAACAGTTTTCGTGTAGATGTGCTTTTAGGGGATAGAAAATTGAAAATTTTTCTGGACCAGTTTTTTTTTTTTTGGTATATATACAACGTTGTCAAAATTGGGATTCAATACATTTAATCGTAGGGTTTTGTGTACATTTGTGATCAATTCTTGTTAAATTGTGTGTGAAATTGGAAATTTAGAATGCCGTATTCAACTCGCCTGGGAACAAACTTTTTTGATAAAATCGCGAGTTTGCCTTCTAGTTTTTGTCTCAATTTATGCAGTAGAATATATATATATTTTTTCTTTATCTTGTGTCTGCTTCCTCCCATAAAGCCCTGTATATTTTTTATCTTCTCTATTTACCCTTGACATTTCTCGATCTCTTTCATCAAAATATTTCAGAAGCGAAGACGAGAAGCACCCTAACTTTTGCTTCTATTTTATTTTATTTTATTTTATAATTTTATTAATTAGCATTCAATATGGATGACATTAATTAGTGAAGGTAATTTTTTTAAATTTTTTTATTTTATTAATTATCAGTAATCTATAAACATTTATTTTTAAATTATAAACATAATTTCTATTTATAAATTAATTTATAATATTATACAAACTTAATGCATTTATATAATTATTTTACGCATAAAGATAAATTTTTCCAATTTTATATCACTAGTTCACATTACAATTCTATTATCAATTTAATTATTCTAAGGAATTTGACAATCTCATATATGTAAAAAATAATAAAATAAAATTATTCTCCATTTATTTATTTACTTTCTTATTGCAAAATATCTTTTCCTCTTTTTCATTATTTTATTATTTAACTCGCTTGGAAACGAACTTTTTTTGATAAAATCGCTAGTTTCGTTTCTAGTTTCCAAAGTAGTTTTTATCTAAATTTGTAATAATCAAATTTATTGCTATAAGGTAAGTTTTTATATTTTTTTATTTTATTCATTATCAATAATATATAAACATTTATTCCTTAATTATAAAATTTTTTAATAACAAAAATATACCTAATTTATATTGATCCCTTAATTACAATTCCATCATCCCTGTTTGATTTAATTAGACTAGCAAGCTTGACAATCTCATACAAACTGTAATGGCTCTTGTTAATTGGTTAGGAGGTCGAATCTTAATTTTTATGTATGTAGCAACTTAGTTGAGAGATGTTTACCTTTCTCCTTTCATAACTTAGGGAGGTAATATCTACTTTTAGTAGGGCCTACTCCTTAGGCTATGAATATATGTATATCTATTGATATATTTCCTTAAAAAAATGCACACATTTATAAAATTGTGAATTTATGGTGGATGGTAAAATGTAGCTGCGATTGCTTGGGAAGCAGAGAAGACACTAGTGATTGAAGAGGTAGAAGTAGCGCCTCCACAGGCCGGAGAAGTGCGTCTAAAAATCCTCTTCACGTCCCTTTGTCATAGTGACCTTTCCTTCTGGGAAGCCAAGGTGAAACTTATTGTAGTCATTTGTGATTTCGTTACCTATCACTAATTAAATGGTAATTATTAATTCATTAATTGATCAAAAAATAATTTTGATGTATTATTACAGGGACAGACGCCAATGTTCCCCCGTATATTTGGTCACGAAGCAGCAGGGTAAGTTCATCATTATGCGCTTGGTGATTGTAACATAAAGATATACAAGTACGTAACTAATAAGCGGAAATATATATATATATATATTATATAATGGTATGAAATTCAGGATAGTGGAGAGTATAGGGGAGGGCGTGACTAATCTGAAACCGGGAGACCATGCTGTGCCTGTATTCACTGGCGAGTGTGGAGAATGCCGGCATTGTAAGTCGGAAGAGAGCAACATGTGTGACCTTCTTGTAGTAAACCCGGATCGAGGTGTTATGATCAATGACGGCAAATCCAGGTTTTGTCCATGTGTTTTATGACAGTCTAATTATCACTATGATTTTTGTAGAACCATGTACCCTCAGGGTATAGTAGGAATTTCATATGTTTAGATATGAACTAATTATTACCCCTGCACCGTTTTCCATCGTCTCCAGGTTCTCTAAGAATTAATGTACAGCCCATTTATCATTTTCTCGGGACCTCTACGTTCAGCGAATACACCGTTGTCCATGCTGGACGTGTTGCTGACATCAAGCCTGCTGCCCCTCTTGACAAAGTTTGTCTCCTCAGTTGTGGATTCTGCACAGGTTTAATTTTCAAACATCACCCTTCTCTTGAAAACTTCGGGTTTGTTTAGTTTCTGTTTTAAAAAAGCTGTTTCTTTGTTTTCAAATTTTAAAAAAATAAAACATTTTGTTTATTAGGTATGTGTTTTGCATTTAAATGTTTTTAAAATTATTCTCATTTTTTATTTGTAAAGCAAATTATATTTGATTATTTTAAATTATAACTTTAGTAATGGTTAATTACTGTCATAGGCAATCAATATTGCCATCACTACTATCGACTATTTTTGTTTTATCCTAAAATTGTTTTTGAATTAACATAATCAAATTTGTTTTCATTTTGTTTTGTTCAGAAGAATAATTTTTAAAAATTAGCTTTCAAAATAGTTTTTAAAAGCAAAAATTCCAAACAGAACCGAGCAAGCCCTTCATGTTTCCAAACATAAACTCTTTTCTCATTATATTCATCCATTCTTTATTTCTCTTTTAGGTTTCGGTGCTACTGTGAATGTTGCAAAACCAAAGCCTGGTTCCTCTATTGCTATCTTCGGACTTGGAGCTGTTGGCCTCGCTGTATATATGTTTCTATTATCCTAATTCCAAAGATATATAAACTCTTTTCTCTTTTATAATTCATTCTTTAACACCTGATCTATTCTAAAATGAATTTAATTAGGCTGCTGAAGGGGCAAGGCTTTCTGGTGCATCTAGAATCATTGGAGTTGACTTGAATTCCAGCCGTTTTGAGCAAGGTACAACTCATTATTTCTCTTCTGAATTCAGAGAAATGAACTATATAATTTGAGCAAGGCTAATTAAATACATCTCTCTATTATTTTCTAATTTATTATCTATGCTCATCACATCCTTAAGCTAATTTAACCCGTCAAATACTACTGATCAATTCTTGTCTTCATTATCAGCTAAACGAGACAAACTAGTTTCAATTCATCAATGCAAATCAGTTAATCACATTCTTAATGCATCAAACACTGATTAATTCAAGTCTCTACTACTAACTGCTATATTAAATTAAAATTCGGAAGATTATTATTGAGTATTTTGGTTATCTGGTCCTTGGTATAAGTTTTCATTTACTTTTAATTTATTATTTAATTTTAAAAAATATTTTTTTCAGAATATCATCCCGATTTAATACATCATTTTTTTTTTTTTACGATAGAGGAAATTGCTAGCATAATTAACTTTGTTTATATAAGAAACTGGTTCAATTAGGATCAAAGGAAGTGTTTGCTAAAACCAGACCCAGTCTTGATCAATCCACTAATATCAGTTAATCTCATCCTTCAGCCATTTTGATTTGTCAACATTGATTAATAATTATGTCCGCTATTGAAACCAGTGAGGTCTGAAAGACGCAGTTATTTTTTTATTCCATAATTCAAAGGCACAGCTCTTGTTCTCTCTACTTTTCTTTTCTTTAAAGACAAAATCACAGAAGAAATTTAATTGATATGTAAATTTTTTAGTTTGGAAGGATTAAAATTTAGCATTGTCATCACTCAGGATCATGCTTGAAGACAACATACATACATATATTTATATATTGATAGTTATTACTTCTGTTTTTATTGTTTCTGGCAGCCAAAAAATTTGGGGTTAACGAGTTTGTGAACCCAAAAGATCATGACAGGTCTGTGCATGAAGTATATAGAAACTATTTAAGTCCACTAATAGACACAGTGCAATAATATGTTCTTTTCTTTATGCCTCGTTTCAATTGTTCACGGGTAATAGTTGAGATGACTAATGGAGGTGTGGATCGTGCGATTGAATGCTCAGGGAGCATCCAAGCCATGACGTCAGCATTTGAATGCGTCCATCATGTAAGCACCTCTTCAAAATTCATTTGCTTGCTGTTGCTAAGCTCCTTTCTAAAGAAGAATCAGAAACTATGTATGATTAAATTGTTAATGGGTGCAGGGTTGGGGTGTTGCTGTACTGGTTGGACTGCCAAGAAAGGATGATGCATTCAAAACTCATCCAATGAACTTATTGTTTTCTCTAACTTTGAAGGGAACCTGTTATGGCAACTTGAAGCCCCGATCCGATCTTCCTTCTACTGTGGAGAAATACATGAAAGGGGTAACTATGCCTACTTAATTATGGAATGATGAATATGTAGTTTCTGTAAATTAAATTTGATGTTTCATTTACTTACATATACCTATGTACAGGAGCTGGAATTAGAGAAGTTCATCAGCCATTATGTGCCATTCTCAGAGATTAACAAAGCCTTTGAATACATGTTGAAGGGGGAATCCATCAGATGCATCATTTGTATGCAAGATTAATTAAAATAATAAAGAATAAAGCTTAATACACAATCTTTGGTGTATATGTACGTAGTTTAATTTATCAAATAAGTACATTATTATATTGTACAGAATAATAAGACCAAGGGGATTTTTTTTTTAAATATCAATTGAAAAGTGCTGTAGTACTATATATATTTCTTTTGCTTTCCTATTTATGAAGAAGCGATCATTTTGCTGGATTTATAGTGGATTTTATGATAACAACTAGAAGTGTTTACTAGGATTTTGAAGCTATTTAAGAGCAGCGGTAATCGAGTATATGGGCCATGCGAGTTTCTGAAGGTGAAAAGTACAGATTTTGTGAACAACAAGAAATACCTTAATGCTATGTTTAGATACACATGAATTTGGATTTGGATTGGATTTAAGTCAAATCCATCATTTGGATAATTAAAAATGTATATCCAAATCCAAATCCAAGTTCTCCCTTAATCTCTTTATAATTTGAAATCCTTTCTAAACCCCTATTATTTCAAATCTTAACTCAAGCTTTTTTGTAATTTGACCCAAATACATGAAGCTAAGGCTTGATTGACTTGCCAACAGTAATTGAATCGAATTGCAAAAGTTGATGAAAACAAGCTGCCATTAATGACAGGGACCTGACGGTCAACTTCCATCGAAATCAGACCGACGATGACGATAGGGACCAAACGACATACCTCTACCAAGACTGAACAGCTAACTTCTATAAGGACCAGATTGATGGCGATGACAGGGACTAGACGGCCGACTTCAACCTAGACCAGACTGACGACAATGACCAAAACCCGACAGTCGACTTCTATTGGGACCAAACTGATGGCGATGATTGGGATTGGACACCGACTTCCGACAGGACCAAATCAAGGACGCCAAGGATTGAACGGAAGACTTTCATAGGGACCAAACTGATAGGGATTGGACTGATAGCGACGATGGGGATCGAATGGGCGACTTCAACCTAAACTGAACCGACAGCGATGATCTAGACCAAACCATCGACTTTCACCATGATTGAACCGACGTTGATGATCGAGACTGGATGGCCGACTTCCATTGGGACTGAGCTGATGATGACAATAGGAATCAAATGGCTAACTTCTATTGGCACTGGCCGAATGGCAATGACAAGGATTAAACAGTCAACTTCCATCGAGATTGGATCGATAGCTATGATGAGGACCAAAAGTCCAACTTCCACTAGGAAAGGATTGGACGACCTTTATCTGTCACCATCGCATTTAGTTTGATCACCGTAGCAATCGGTCAAGTCCAATGTTAGAGGAAGTCTGCCATTCGATTCCCATTGCTCTTGATCCTTTTCAGTCCTAGTGGAAGTTGGCTGTTTGGTCCTTGTCGTTGTATTCGGTTTGATTCTAATAGAAGTCAGCCGTTCGGTCCTCATCGTAGGTATCGGTTAGGTCTAGTGCTAGTGAAAGTCGGTCATTCAGTCCCCATTGTCGGCGTCAGTTCGGTCTTGGTGGAACTCAATCACCTAGTCCCCGTTGTCCCCGTCAGTCCGATCCTGATAGAAGTCGGCTGTCTAGTCCCCATCGTCGCCATTGGTCTGGTCTCAATAGAAGTCTGTCGTTCGATCCCTGTCATTAATGTCGATCTAGTCCTAGTAAAAGATGGTCGTTCGATCCTCATCATCACCATCGATTTGGTCCTAGTGGTAGTTAATCGTTTAGTCCCTATCGTCATTATCAATCTAGTCTCTGTGGAAGTTGGCCATCTCATCCTTGTCATTGCAATGGTCCAGTCTCGATGGAAGTCAAAGGTCCCTTCTTAGTCATCCTTGGTGCCACAATCCCAATTGGCTTTGTTTGTTTGATCCCATTGGAAGTTGACCTTTCAAATTGTTGAGTTTGACCAATCTTTCAAGTTTCTTTTAAATTCAAATATAGAATTTAAATTTTAAAATTTTACTTTAGATCCAAACAAAGGATTAATATTGTAATTTAAAATTTTTTATATCATCCAAACAAAGAATTTAGAATCTTTGAATTTCAAATGTAAGATTTCAAATATGAGATTTCAAATTCAAATTCCTAACTTAAACCCACCCTTCCAAACAAAACCTAAAGTTACAATTCACCTAATTTTATTATTGTGAACAGAGAAAAATGGAGGGATAAATAAATTATCTGAAATAAGAAAAACTTGTTTTACAAGACCAATAATAATGCCATATTTAGTATCAGAGATAGTGAAGTCAAGTATTTTTTTTCTTTTAGGTCTAAAAAGTCAAATAATTCACTATTTGCATTTCGACACATAAATAGTGGAAAATAATAAGGAATTTGGAAATTTGAGTTGTATGGATCATCTATGTTTAACGGGAGGAATACAAGAATGACAAGTTATTCTATGGCCAAAATTGAGGAAAATTTTCTAAAATTTAGGAAATCTTAAAAGAGTTTTTATGTGTTTTTGAAGATTTATATGAGGTATCAAAGAAGGAAACACCTAAGGGTGTTCATAGGATGGGACTGGGACACCCTTGTCCCGTGGCCCATCCCAAAAAATGATTGGGACTCAATTTTTGTCCTATGTCTCATCTCGTCCTAGAAGCCATTGGGACTAGATCGAGACAAGATCGGGACATCCTGGGTCATGGTGAATCTAATTAAATTTTATAATTTAGTTATAAAACATCTTTCAACATAAATCAGATACTACAAATACAATATATTTCCTACCTTGAAGCCACCAGTAGTGCCTGCATGTATGATCAAGTCTGGCTATAATGCTTGAACAGCAGCATATGTTACAAGAGAAGATGATATTGTGCCTACACTATCAACCCTTGAAAGAAATAGATGTAGGACTCAGCACATAATTTTGAAATTAAAACTCCCATTTTCCTACTCTATGCTCCTTAGAGATATGTAAGATCCCCCCATCCTCGGTTCTTTTCTTAATTTCCTTAGGGAGAATCTTTTGATGCTTAGGAACGTGCTGCCACTAAAGATCCTTATCATATAGACTAACATCTAACAGTCTAGTCTTCTTAAAAGTAGCAAATCAAATGGGTAACGATGATGGTGGATATACTAATACAAGAGATGCCTATTTTTTTCATTTTAGTGGTAATGATTATGATTTTGTCACAAGTCTTCTATCAAAGGAATAAAAACATCATAGTAAAAAGTAAAAATGTTAGAGACTTTACTTTTGCATTATAAGATGAGAATAATCAAAAGGCAAATTCATAATGTTTGCTAATGTCTATATCCTTTGACAGGTTACTAAAGAAGTAATTGGAAATAGGTTAGAACTAACACAAAAGCTTATCTAGAGTTGGATCTTTTCTAGGCCACATTAAATTTATATTGAGATCTTTGAATGTACTGTAATGGTGAACCCAAGGGACCCCTTGTGAATTTACTAATACTTAAGCTTAAAAATGTTCCATAATACACCAAAGATTTTCTCTTTCTGTGCTCAGCTCAACTCAATAACAAAAGGTCAAAAAACTTGTGTACTTAGACTAGAATAAAACTAAGAAACTATTATCTACAAACACTATATAAAAGCAGTCAAGAGAGAAGAAGAGCTAAGGTAGAGATGAGAAGGAAGAAGATGAGGCAAAGCTGGACCGAGGAGGAAGGAGATATGAGGCAGACCTGAGACAGAGATGAGAAGAAGGCAATGCGTCGACATGCCTAATCATAAAATTGAAACTCTAAAAGGTAGAGAGAAGAGGAGTTGAGGCAAAGATGAGAAGGGCTAAAGGCTATGAAGACTAGAACTGTGACTTACGTAGGTGCCGACGGCGTGGGTGGTTGTGTAACTTGCATCATGCGTGGTGGCATGATGGAACTATGAAGACTAGAACTTTAGAGAGAAGTGCACCACTGTGCTGATAGGGTAGGGAAAGTAGGAAAGTAGGACTGTGGGAATATGACTATTAAATTCAAAAACTGAAGGCTGATTGGCTGAGGTTGGAAGTGCAAGATAATGAATTGTATAATTTCAAAAAAATATAATAAAGCTATTATAAATGGGACAGGACGAGACATCCCGATAGTAAGCTCAAGTCCTATCCCATCTCATTCCTTTTTTTGTCCCATCCTAACTTTTTTCAGGCTGGGTCAAACCTGGTCTAATATTATTGAGACATGTTAAGACAAGTTTGGGCCTATCGAGATGGGTCAAACTTGAACATCTCAAGAAAAATATTTTAAATTCATAAAACTTGATATATTTAATTTTCTTAAATAACTGCTATATTTGTCCAATTATATTGTAGTGAATCAATTTATCTTGGATGGGTGACACATCTAAGTTTTTATTGAAAAATTAAAATATGGAAATTGGTTTAATGGTGAGAGAACTTGTTTAGATCTTTCACATTAAAATTAGATAGTTCAGGTTCAATGTTACTTTATTTTTATATGTTTGACAATTTTTATTTTAATAGAGATAATTTTACTACTTTTACTTTTTAAAAAAATGAATTTTATTATGTGTCAAAAAATGAATTTTATTATTTAAAAATTACAAATTTCAAACTTAAAATATAGATTGTACATTTAGATTTCATCACCTCGACCACACTATAACCAAAGATGTTCAAGTGTTGTCTAAATAGGTAATTAATCAATATCAACATTAGAGTTTCTCTCCGAGTGAGTGTGGGGCCTTCTTTTTCTCTCCACATTTGTGTGAGGATTTCTTGATTGTATTGGAGTGATACTTTTCGGCCACTTCATAGTAGAGCACCCATCACTACTTCTTGGTAGATTGTGAGTGAGAGTTTACTTCCACTTTTTTCTCTAGTGGTAGTTGTTCTCTTTGTTTCTTTCTTTCATTTTTTTTCCTTTTGTCTTTTTTCTGATTGTTGGAGGAACTAGGAAGTAAGTTGGTGATAGAGGTTGAGGAATTTTTCTGGAATACTAGTGATGAAACTGAAGTAATAGAGATGGTTTTTGTGACATCCTAAATTTTTAATCTGGAGGCTATCTGTTAATTAAGGTAAATTAGTGAAT